TATATATATATATATATATCCTTAACGGGTTAACGGATTATCCGTTAAGAAAATTAAATAATCCGTCCCCAAACCGATAAGCCGTTAATAAAAATATTTTAATATGTTCTCCGTCCGTTAAACCGTTAACCCGATACCAATAAGCCATTAAGTTTCGGTTTCGGTTCGGTTTTGAACACCCCTACTCCAAATCCACATCTGGACATACGCCTAAGTCCAAAATTACTATACAAAACTATTGAAACCATCAAAATACCATGATGGGGTCGTCTACACATAAGTCAAACTACGGTCAACTCTTACAACTTAAATTTCCAACCTTGGGGCTAAGTGTCCCAATTCACTCCAAAACCTACCTGAAAGCATCAAATAGGGAAAGCAGGGCTAAAATACTCAAACCGACCGGATGAGTCATTACAATAATCAATCCAATTATAGATACCCCTTTTCATATTATAGAGTCTAGCCTAGAAAGCTAAAGAAACTTTTCAGAATTTGATAACCTAACAATACACTTTTCAATTAAGCAATATAAATTACAATTTAACGAGCAATTGACTCAACCTGAACAACTAAAGAATTTCAGTAACTTCATATTTTGGACCTCGTTTCAGTTGAGCAGCTTGAATCCTTGAAATAACCTCTTATTATGAATTGTTATTTACCTTGAATAAATTCTCTAAATTGTGCGAATAACGTGAGAAGCGTTAACTTCAAACAGCTAATTTTAACTCCAAAATCTAAAATAATTCAGTAACCTCTTAAGAAAAATAAATCTTAAAAGTTCTATTTTATTTTCTTAAAAGACTCATTTATGCATTTTTCTTTTCACGTAATTCCGCAATCAATGAATCTTTGTTGACCACAAATTCCTCCGGCTATTACCATATATTCAATCCATGAAATCAATCCTTCAAGAAATCCGACTTTCAACTAAAATAATATTTTCTGCTCAAACCAATTTGTACTAGGAAACAACTTTCAGCTTCTGATCACAGACTTCAAGAGACCTGATTATTTCACAGCTATTTGTTAATCATCAAAACTAATGTAAGTAATTTAAGCTCAGTTCAACAGGTTGTGTCTAGGATATTTGACATTAATAATTTCTTCCGCATCATTTCTTCGCATGATTTGTTATACCCAGCAAAAGAAACTAATCACGGATAAAGGCATTTGAAAAGATTTTGTGATGACAACTTAATTTTAGACCCAATTGCAAACGCCTCAAGCAGCTTTTGACAAAGGAAACCTGTTTTGAATTATATTATGCTAGAAGACTAGAATGGCTCCGTGGCAATAAATATCAGGTTCTACTTTTTTTACTTTCTCTACGTTTCTGTCCTATGTTATCTATGAAATCTTATTTTTACAAATGTTAGGATACATTTCATTATGCAGTGATCTCATAATATATAGTCTGTTAGCATGCATGTAATGATTTGTTATAACATCCGGTTGAAGGTTTATTTTGTTATTTCTTTTGTTAAGTGAAATCAATGTGTTGATATATAATTTGGTTGCATACATCAAATATATGATAATTATTTTTAAAGTTATAAGATATTTTAAGCTTATATTAATACTTGAAAATTATTTTGATATATATATATATATATATATATA